ACAACACAACTACCTCATTCCAACATAGAAAAAGTGATTACATATGCCAATAGCTACACCCCAACTACTACTGGGGGAAGGTGCTGGCTACCATCAGAACAAGGTATAAGGGAAGTATTTTTCTACTCCCTCCCCTAGACTAAATTAGCATTTAACCCTTGCCATCTGGGGGGGAGAAAGGGGCACAAAATGCTGATTTTTTTTTTTGTTATGGCTGACTGGAGTTCAGCCTTTAAGAAAAAAAAATGCTATAAGTAACACAAAAACTGACATACCTCTAGGTGCTTGGAGTCACGGGTCATGGATTCTACACTCATGAGCTGGCATCAGGGACCATTTGTTAAATCACCCTCAACAGGCCTTAGTACATAATAGTTAAGGTGACCATACACTGTACGATTATCGTATGATAATCACGGGAAATCCAGCGATTGTATCATAATCGCAAAGTGTATGGAAGGCGTGCGACCGTTTCTACTGTACGATCGCACGTCTTCCGTCGAACAAGCAGGCTGTAAAACCCACCGAGAATCGTACGATTCTCGGCGGGTTAGTGGCTTGCTTGTTCGACAACTGCCGAACGGGACGATGTGCACGCGCACACACTCCCCGTTCAGCATTGCAGTCATGGGAAGCCCACCCCTCAGCGGGACGGGCTTGCGATGATCGCAAGTACGATCTGCCTGTCCAAGATGGGCAGATCGTACGTTTTTTTAATTACTTTACAACCCTCGCAAGACAAATGTCTTGCGAGGGTTGTACAGTGTATGGCCACCTTGGCCATACACTGTACAACCCTCGCAAGACTTTTGTTTTGCGAGGGTTGTAAAGTAATTTAAAAAAACGTACGATCTGCCTATCTTGGACAGGCAGTTCGTACTTGCGGTCATCGCAAGCCCGTCCCGCTGAGGGACGGGTTTCCGATGACTGCAATGCTGAACGGGCAGTGTGCGCGTGTACACACCGGCCTGTTCGGCAGTTGTCGAACAAGCACGCCACTGACTAGCCTGCTTGTTTGACGGAAGACGTGCGACCGTACAGTAGAAACGGTCGCACCCCTTCCATACACTTTGCGATTATCGTACGATTGCAGGATTTCACGCGATTATCGTATGATAATCGTACAGTGTATGGGCACCTTAAGACGTTTGTGTTAATTTGTTGCATGAAGCCCAGGTGAGACTGGGGCTGTTGCTTGGCCACAGAGAACTCTAAAAACTCTCATTAACCTGTCAGGAAGACATGAGATATGAAGCCAGTAAGACAAACTGTCCTGCATGGTGGGTAATATTCCACGACAAACGTGAGAAAGATACCAGAGCAGCAGAAGAAGGGATTAAATTAATTCTGGATGTCATTCTATAGAACAAGTTTTCAGGTGGTTGGGGTCCTCTCCGCACACCTTACAGCAGTCCTGGCCAAATAAGAACGGTGGTGCTTGCAATGACTATCACGGATGGCACCGTGCAAAATACGAAGTAAAAGAAACAGGTCACCAGCACTCGTTTAGAATAAATATGTCCTTTTTTAATGGACAATTGTGTCACTACAATCAACAGAGCCGACGTTTCGGGGCCGCACAGGGTCCCTTCCTCAAGGCAGTAAAATTGTGACCCAATTTTACTGCCTTGAAGAAGGGACCCTGTGCGGCCCCGAAACGTCGGCTCTGTTGATTGTAGTGTCACAATTGTCCATTAAAAAAGGACATATTTATTCTAAACGAGTGCTGGTGACCTGTTTCTTTTAATACTATAGAACAAGACAAAACCGCAGCAAGGAACACAGATCTACGAGGGCGTGATCATCCATCCAAAGACAAACTTTAAGATCTGCAGAAGATCCAATTCCCAGGCAACCAAAACAGAAGAGGAACGCAGCTCTTCAAATGCACACAGTGCTATACAGGGAGTTGTACAGGAGAAAGGGAATTCACTGGCTTCTTGTCTGTGTCATGGGTTGAGTAAATCGACGCACCAAGATGGTGGTAATGGGGCAAAAGAGGCAATTACTGGTTTCAAGGTTAACATGGTGAAGTTTTTTTTCTTTTTTTAAGCAGAGAACATTGCTGGAGTTCAGCTCTTCAGCAGCTCTAGCAGAATGTGAATGACTCTGCTGTGCTGGGTAATAATATTAATACAGGAATTTATCAGAAGACTGAGGAAATTCAGTGCAATACAAATTTCCTTCGTAATAAAACAACAGGAGATCAATTTAAAACCAAAAGGGTAAAGGTACATATGGGCAGGGCAATACACAGAGCAATACAGAAATTCCCCAACACACAAAAAAAGCTAAATAAGCTGTTTCAACATCTCATGATGGTCCCCAACTCAAAACTATCTACTAGCAACGCATACATTAAGTGCAAGCTTAAAGTGACATTAAACCCTCAGATTTTTTAACATAAACCAATACTGTAATGTGTGCCTTACTGTAATCCATGGTTGTTTCCCTTCTCTTTGCTGCTCTTCCTTTTAAATCTGTATCTGCTCTCATGCTCTGCAGAACTTATGTTTTGCAGCAGACTACCTTGTGCTAGGAATGGATACACGGTGTCTGTGTATAGATTTGTATAGGCTTGTAACCTGAGCCAGCACTACAGGAAGAGGCCCTGAGCTGAAAAGGGAACTTCTCCCCAAGCATGAGAAGACATGAGGATTTAAAAGGAAGAGCAGCAAAGAGAAGGGAAACAACCATGGATTACAGTAAGGCACACATTACAGTATTGGTTTATGTTAAAAAATCTGAGGGTTTAATGTCACTTTAACTGGAGAAAAGCGATATATACAACCCCGGCCATCCACATTATGTAATAGAAATAGTGATTCATCAGACCAGGCCACTGTGGTCCAGTTCTGATGCTCATGTGCCCATTGTAGGTGTTTTAGTGGTAAAAATGGGGCAACACGGGCACCCTGACCAGTCTGAGGCTACTCAGCCCCATATGAAACACACTGCTATGCACTGTGTGTTCAGACACCTTTCTATTAGAATTAGCAATAACTTGTTCAGCAATTTGAGCTACAGCAGCTTTTCTACTGGATCTGACTACAAGGGCCAGCCTTTGCTCTCCATGTGCATCAATGAGCCTTGGCCACCTATGACCCCGTCACCAGTTCACTGGTTTTTCCTGCCTTGGACCACTTTTGGTAGGTCCTGACCACTGCAGACTGAGAACATCCCACAAGAGCTAGAGCTGTGAAGTTTCTCTGACTCATCACAATTTGGCCCTTGTCAAAGTTGCTATAATTCCATACACTTGCCCATTTTATCGGCTTCCAACACATCAACTTCAGGGACAAAATTTTCACTTGCTGCCTAATACATGTCGCCCCCTTTCCCAGCTTCATTGTAATGAGATAATCAACGTTATCCACTTCACCTATTCTGTCCCCAAAAGACTGTGGTTGTAGCTGCAAATATGTGGAAAAACGCTTGTCTATTAAACGACCACACAAAAAAACATGCTAAATTCGAAACGCTATACGTACAGAGCCTTACGGAGGTAAGTCATCTGTTTTTTCCACTTCCATTAATGTAGCCTCATCTATCCGCGCACAAAAATTTAGAATAATATTAATATCCAGCAGAGAGGCCTGTCTGTGTCTACAAACTGCGCCATGGACGGGCAGCTTCTCTAAGTCGAGCTGTCAGATTTCCCAACACAGCCTGTCAGTTTTGCACTAAAAACAGACAAAAAGACTGCAGACATCAAAGTTTAATTGACGCTTCTCAGTTTCCTGTCAGGTCCATGCTGCTATGAGAATTGTATTTGCGGAATTAAAATAATTTTTGTGGAGGTAAGGCACCCCCATATGACCCCCAGATGCTGCCACAGGATGATGTATTGTCTGTAGGTGACATAAATAAAGTGTATAGAAAAGACATTTTTGTTTAGTTTTAGATAGAATGTGGAAGGGTTAGATATCATCAGGATTTTTTTGCCATTTGTGTCCCACTCTGGGAAGATTCTCCCTCGTGTCCAGGTGACCATTGTCTTCAGTACATTTCCCTACATTTTCAGTACATTTCAGTACATTTCCCTATTTTATTTTTCTAACAATGTGCCCGCTTTCATTTTCCTAAAGTTTAATTATAGAGTAAATAGCGGTTGATCCTGCCACTTTCAATTCTGAGTTTGCAGTGTCAACAATCTGCAGGCTAATCTAGTCACTGCAGTGCGTATACTCCCGTTCCTTCCTCTGTTCTGTCCCTTTCAGCTTCTAGCTGCCCATGTCACAGGCAGCAACAGGGCTGTTCAGTGTTCATGATTAACAGAGTATGCTCTTCTCTGCCTTGCATATCCCAGGGAGGACGACATGAAAAAGTCCTGTCCGCTGAGATAGGCTGTGCAGAGCGGAGAAGCAGTTACGCGACTCGCACAACTGAAATTTAAAAAAAGTGATTTTGGATACCTATTTCTCAGCATCACACACACACACACACATACACGCTACAAAAGATGGTCAGAGACTGGGTTCGGGACAGCACGAGAGACTGCTAAAGATCACTACCATCACAGACCGTTTATAAATCATTCCTTCCACATTTGTGTTTTCTTTAGCCCCCTTAAAATATAACATCACATCATACTGATATGCCTTCTCAGCAAGATCTATTCTGAAGCTCAGTGGAAAAAAAAGAGAAACAGAAACAGACAAAACAAAAAAAAGTGAAAGAAATACCAAACTGTTTAACGAACAGAAGCATGTCTAATAATTATTTTTCCATCACTGGTCGTGACTCAGCACCTCGGTAGGGAAAACATGACTTCCTACTAGCTGCTGGGGCGCTGAAGAGTGCACATAATGCCTGCCAATGGGCCACATGCTGCTCTCAGGCCACAGGCTGGACAACAGGGCATTGCATTGACTTACTCATGCCCAAACACAACTAATTGTAAATCTCAGCTACTAACTAGTACACAGTTTACATAAAGCATTCATCTTCCAGGCCCACATGGCAACATTTGCTCTGTCAGCAGAAAATCGAAATCTTACCCGTATCCTTCTCATTGCTGCCACAATCTCCACCCGGCTGTTGGGTCTCGGCACATCCAGGCTGCCAATATACTGGAAGGGAAAAGAGATGGTTAGGATTATTATCTGAAATGACAGGCTGGTAAAAATCCTGCCAAAGGAAACTGCCAGACACGATACAATTTGCTTGTATCTGGACAGATCTAAAAACTGAAGCTGCCCAACATATCACATTCTTATTGTGCAATCTCAGAACAACCTCAAAGCGTATTGCGCTATAAGTTGTTTCTAGAGCTATAGAACACTGTACAATCAAAATAGGTTTTATGTAGAAAAAGAAGTTAAAAAAGGTGTATGTCTACTTTTGTCAGTTAAAAAACTGATATGTCAGTTATGCGTGCAAGCAAGCAGATTGCATAGCTCTGCCTTCTAGTATCTTTCAGGGTTCCCTGGCAGTGAGATCTCCTGGTCAGAATTCTCAGCTAGAAAACAATATTATTAGCGATAACCCGCATTGATTTACTAAACAAATATACGTCTTTGTCTTGAGGAAGTAAGCAAAGCGTAGACTAGCCTTTCTCAACCAGGGGGCTGTGGCACACCGGGGTGCCTTCTGGCTCCCTCAACATTTTCTGATCGTAGGATTCGGATGTGAAGAATGGAACTCTGATGTGAAAGGGTTAGGGTGTGATTTAGCGTGCGGGTCCCCCTTACATTTTAGGCTGGGGTGTCTCAAGATTTTGTATACTTTTTAAAGGTGCCGTGAGTGAAAAGGTTGAGAAAAGAAGCACAAAGTGTTGCAATGGCCCACTCATAGTCCAGACCTCAACCCAATTGAAATGCTATGGTGGGACCTTAAGAGAGCTGTGCATAAACAAATGCACGCAAACTTCAATGAACTAAAGCAACATTAAAAAGAAGACTGGGCCAAAAAGACTGATAAAGTCATAAAGGAAAAGGTTACTTCAAGTTATTGCAGCTAAAGGTGATTCTACAAGCTATTGAATCATAAGTTGTACTTAGTTTTTCACACCCGGCTTCTCCATTTTGGCTTTAGGTTTGTAAAATTGACAATGACACAGTGTGATATGTCATGTGTTGTTCATCTGAGGTTGTATTTACCTAATTTTAAGCCTGCTGAGGAACAGATGATTTCTATTATGGCCTGATACTTAAAGGAGAACTATGAGATGAGTGATTTCCACTCACCTCATAGTTCTAGCCGACCTGTGACAATGAGACTGTCACAGGTCGGCTCAGTAGATCGGGAGGTGAGCGAACACATACCAGGTTCGCTCACCTCTCGATCTTGTCACGGCTCTCTGCCGTGACAGGGGGAGGGCTGGATTCCCCTCTCCGATCTGCCAGCGCTGACTGGCGGAACGGACGGGGGAGGGGGCGGGTACAGCTGGCTCTGCCTCTAGATAGGCAGAGCCAGCTGTCACTCACGCAGCTGGGCGGATCCCGTCATCTACGTCGGGATCCGCTCCGGCTGCGGCGTCTCAGTATACCGCGAGCTGTAGCTCGCAGTATACTGAGCTTAGGGTAACGGGAGGACGCTAGTTTGTGTCCTCCCGTTACCCTAAGGAGAACTATGGGGAAAAGCCCTGACCCCATACTTCTCCTTTAAAACCAAAGAATTCAAAGAGTGTGTACTTTCTTTTTCATAAAACATTTTTTTTTATACAATATATCTATCTATATAGATAGATATATAAATATTACACACACACACACACACACAATGTATAGAGGGGACAGCTTCAATTGGTAATCTGTCTCTCTGTGTCCATCCCCCCAGACACTCCACGGCCATGCTAGTGCCCCTCTATCTGTACAGATTCATGTCACTGGGATGGGTAGGGGAAGCAGCATGTGGCATCCCCCAATCCCAACAGCCAACCCCCCCTATCATCCTTTATCCCAGATTCTGGAGGGAACATAATAGCAGAACAGCTCACAATGACAATTCTTTGCTGGCAAATACTAATCAATGGCCGCTTTGTCTGTGCAGTAATCCGACTGGCTCTGAGCAACCCCCCCCGCTACTTCATCTCATTGCAAGGGGCCCTGTGAACGCCGGGAGGCAAATTCAAACTTGCATTGGAGGTAGACTGTTGTAGGATGGAAATATGAATTGTTTATTTTTAAATTTATTTATAAATTTCAACAAATACACATTGATCGTCCTATCTTCTCAGCCTCCAGCCCCAGTAACTAGTTCTTTGCCTTTTCCAGACTTCTGCACTGACCTTTAGGTAAATTGCAGGCATTCCTGCAAGAAAAGGGTCATATAGATGGATGATGTATTCCATGGTGCTGGTTCCATAACTAGACTTTTCTGCTGCGGGCGACTTGTTAAAGAGCGAACAGTCTTTTCCATTAAGAGTCCTTAAGAGTCCATTGACTGATCACTGTTATTTGACAGTGATGATCTGAAAACAGCGAGTGGTGCTTAAAAGCTTGAACCCACCCCAGGAATGAACATGAAGGTGTTAACTATGCCTCATAAGTATCTGTATGGAGTTGTCAACCCCCCTTAGGTGTTTGTTAGCAGTGTGAAGGGGTTAAATCCCACCCAAGGGGCTGGAACCATCTTTAAATATAAAGTTAAAACACCAGATGTGTCACAAAACACAGGATAACGAGTGGAGATCAGGCCAAATCTGGAATCATCTTCAGCTAATTAATATATTTCTGGCTCCGCATTGGAACATCTGGACATGTTTTTCTATCACAAGACGACTCATCCAGCCAGAAGTGCAGAAATTAAATTGTGCATTGATCGGTTTTCATGTAGAACATTAATAGAGACTGAAAAGAAAAAACATAAATCATTGACAGAAATAGAATAAACGGCAGGCGGAGACAACATCGCTTGCATTTCCATCATGGAGGCTCTGCCAGAGAGGACGCCGTGCGCCCTTCACATCTCCATCTCTGCTGTCTATCAGGGTGCTGTGTAATGGACACTTTTTACACAATATATACTGTACGCATAGGATAAATAGGAATGACTGGCACACAGGGAAACCAATCAGACAGAGCTTGACGCCATTTTGTCAAGACAACCAGCACAACAGGTTTACATAATTTGCACCTAAAAGCAGTATTTCAGTTTTCTGAATTTTTTGTCCAAAATGACCCCCATGCCCGCTTCTTGTGCCACTTAGGACTCCGGTTGAGAGATCTCAAAAATTCCTAGCTCCAGTTGACAGAAATTTCTATTACAAAGTGAATGATGGTTTCACTTTTCCTATAATGCAGAATAAAGAAATAACACTATTAAAAAGGAGAACTATGGGGTTAGGGCTTTTCCCCATAGTTCTCCTAAGGGTAACAGGAGGATACAAACTAGCGTCCTCCCGTCACCCTAAGCTCAGTATACCGCGAGCTACAGCTCACGGTATACGGAGACGCCACAGCTGAAACGGATCCCGACAATTATGTCTGGATCCGCCCCAGCTGCGTGAGTGACAGCTGGCTCTGCCTATCTAGAGGCAGAGCCAGCTTTACCCGCCCCCTCCTCCAGTCAGCGCTGGAGGATCGGAGCGGGGAGGGGGAAATCCAGTCCCTCCCCTGTCACGGCTCTCTGCCGTGACATGATCGAGAAGTGAGCGAACGCCGGTATGTGTTCGCTCACTTCCCGATCTACTGAGCCGACCTGTGACAGTCTCATTGTCACAGGTCGACTAGAACTATGAGGATGAGTGAAAAGCGCTCACCTCATAGTTCTCCTTTAGGGATTCCAGACAATGACAAGACTCTGTGCAGCACTGACAGGTCAAACTAAAGGAAACCTGTCCTGAGAGACAAATCCACATGAAATGCATGTGGTCTAGGGATGGCGTTGTGCCGACATATACTCTTCTGCAGCTGGATGATATTGGTGTCTTTTTGTTTAGATTTGACATTGTTTAAGTGTAATTTTCCATTATTTGTTGGCAAGATTACAATACTCAGCGGAGAACTCTTCTTTGACATCAGCTCTGAGGATTAAGCCTCTCACATTTGATTACACTTGGTATTGGTTATTGAACATTATAGTTCTCTGCATTGGAAGAAATAAAGCAATAAAGCCCAGAGACATAACATGACCTAGCATTGTTTCTGTACATCCTCCTACTGCTTAAGAGTGGCAGTTGATAGTGGGATTAAACATGTATGTACTCTCCACCTTGTAGAGATACAGTATCTGGAGGAATCTATGATGTAAAGCCTTGGTGCCTAACATGAGGCCTGCTAGCACTCAGCATGTGGCCTGTCTCGCCTGCTCGCATGTGGCGAGTAAAAAATCAAGTGAGGGCGAGTGGAAATTTGGGTCTCCAAGTACCGGTCCGCAGGCCAACTCCGGCCCGCGAGCCTGTACTATGTGACCCGCTGATATGTCAGGCACGCGGTCGCAGACCGCGTCCCTGACTGACGGGAGCAGCTCCACGGTCTGCATCTGTGTCGGATGCAGACCGCAGAGCTGCCCTGGTCAGCTCTGGCTTCCTTCGGCCAGAGCTCTGACACTTCTGAGCTCCGGCCGAAAGAAAGAATGTATGTGAGGAAGATCGATCCCTGGTTATCTGGGTGTGAACAACGGCCCGTGCGGCATTCGTCGTCCAACCACGCCACCAACCTGCCAAAAATCGTACGATTTTCGGCAGGTTTTCAAGCTTGCTTGTAAGACGAAAGTCGTACGACCTTACAGTAGAAGCGGTCACACGCTGCCCATACACCTGCCGATTATCGTACGATCGCAGGATCACCCACGATTATCGTACGATAATCGGCAGGTGTATGGACACCTTTAGTGTATTTGTATATTAGGCCTCATTCACACCTACAGTATATTTCAGGTGTGATTAGAGATTCCTGTGTCAGGTACTTGCGTTTTCCTGCAGCAGGAATCCCTAATCTGCCGTTTACAAGCGGCAACTATCATAAGATAAGAATTATCATAAGATTATTTAATAGGGTGTGTTTAGGGGCGGAGTTAAGGCCGGGCCAGTGGAAGGTGGGGCAACTGGTGGCTAGTAACTCTTAAGGCCTGGCTAGTAGCTCAGGACTTCAAATTTTGAGCCCTGTCCTAGACCTCTGATCAGGTC